TTTTTTTTTTTTTTGAATGACAACAAATTATTTTGACATTTCGTGGTACTAACAACTGATACATCAGTACCTACAAGTCACGAAAGAATGTACCTATAACAAACGATCTACCCTATTACATTAGTCATAACAAAAAATGTCTTCTTTATCACTGGATAAAAAAAACTAGTTCCGAAATGTTTTTCTTATTAAAGAAGTTATTTGCAGTCTTTCCATACTGGGAATGAAACGATGACTAATACGATGGTTTATACGAAACACGACAAAACCTTTTAAAGTCTTTTTTAGAAAATGTATTCTCTATCTCTAAAATTCCTATTCATGAAATAATGGAAAGAATCCGAAAATAACTAATATATGATACGAACTTATTGTTGTTTCTTTGGAAAACTACTGCATGTAAACTACCGAGTTGTGTACAATATTTGCAAAATCATGGTGATATACGAACACACACACACACATGTAAGTTAGGTTTCAATGTGTTGCGTCTTTTTGTAATTGGCAAATAAATGAGGGATGAGATGTGCACCTGACCCCCTCTCCTCATAGCTAAAAATGCAAGCGCATAATGCATCGAGACTTGTGTATGTAATATTCTGGCCATATCATTACTTTTTGCCATCGTCCTCCTCTATTTTAATGAATTTAATAAAAACATATGTTAACTTTTCTCTCTATATATATGCATAACAATAGATGTCGGTGTGTGAAAGTTCGTGTGTGTGTGTGGCTTTTAATTCCAGGCTTGACCAATCCTCTGTGTGTTGTCTTGTGTGCTTGTGTATCCCCGCAGCATTTTATATACATATGTATGTACATATATATACATATGTCTATGTAATCTAAAAATTAAGAAAGTCCGAGGATGCGTTTCTATATTTTGAAATTCGTATGTATAATTGTTTGTCATGGCAGCCCTCCCTCCATTGCTATCTAAATTTAAGGCAGCATCATTGCTGTGTAAGCTTTTACATAGAATTGCGTCGAAGGTAACTATGTGATATTAATTTTTATTAAATTGAAGTATTTTATTTACGTAAGCGTTGTAAAAAGTTACAGTAAGTCTTAGAGAACGCTATTTTTCATCTCTTCAAAAAGTTTTCGTTTGGTTAGCAAAGGAATTATATCGGCCAATGTGTGGCCGATTGGTTTAAAATGTTATTCCTATATGCAAGAAATCCTAAAAAGATATCTCAAATATTTTACAACAGTTTTTTGAAGGATGAGATAAGCTTTTCATTTCAGACTTCCTGAAAAACACTATTCTTTTTATGAGCTGAAGTATAAATACTGTCTTTTACCGTTTTCGTCGAAGAATTCAATGAAAACTTTGCAATAACTGAAAAAAAAAAGCATCACAGTTGTAAAGTGCCGTTTTGGCTGGACAATTTGATATGTGGCCAGCCTACTTAAGAAATTGTTTGATGAAACGGAACGCTTTTTACTAAGGCTTGCCTTAAGTGTTGTCTACCCCAAAACGCAAGCCACGCTCTCTAATTAACGTTTAAATCTACATGGCCACACATCTAATTATATAAAATATAGTAAAGAAACAACAATAATTATTTGGGAAGTTCACAAACAAAATTATGTCAAAAATCAAAAAATTAAGGACAAATTCTTTATTGCCTGGTCTAAAGTCTTCTACACCATTACCTAAATTTTGCGTTTGGCATATAATCAAAGGAAAGAAATTGAAAATCCAAATAATGAAAACAATTTCGCGTGTAAATATTTTTTAAGCTTTCCGTGTTGTTAGAGTCTTCACAGTACATAACTACCTAAAAAGTTTGTCCGTTAACCATTCCCCGTGAATGTGTTTTCTCTGGAAGTTTGTGCGTGTGTGTGTGTACATAAATACAAAGCATCCTTCCTCCTTACTATAAAAATTGCTTGCTGGAAATAGTATATAATACTACTACCCATATACAATGAGCTTTATATACACATAGATGATTTGGAATGCACATAATGATTCGGGCAGAATAATAACAACAACTGCGCTATATAGAAAAACACAAATTAAAATGTGGTGTGTGTATGTTAGCCACACAGCAATCTCATATCTGAGGTTGGTGAGTGACCGTGTGTGTGTGCTGCTTGGTATGTTACAAAAAAGGACATGCAAAAAATCAATTTTGATTATACACAGCCAAATCCGAACGAAATACCAGGCTATGATTCCATTGTGCATCCAAACTTTTGACCGTTGTTCAGTTGTTTACGTACGTCAGACAGACAGGCAAACTGTCTGAACTGAACTAAAAAAAAACAAACATTTCTGTCGACTGGTGTTGTGTGGATACATACACTTGCTGCAGTATGTGTGTGTGTGTCTTGTGTGCCGAGTAATCGAATGACTGCAGCACCACAGAGAAGAACAAGCACAAAGGCGACCCAACAAAACACACACAACAAGGAGGAGGAGATGGCAAGGAAAAAATGCAAGCAGGCAATTTGTTGTTGTCTTTGCCTTCTTCTCTCGGTCGTCGTCGTCGTAGTCTTCGTGTGTAATGTAATCAATACAAATATTCAGTTCCTAAAAATATAGATTTTTTAACTTCGTTTCACAAATTGAATCATTCACAATCGTATGCGGGGCAGCGACCGTTTTTGTCGTCGTTCTATTCCGTACAATCGAGTGTGGCAAACGACGGACGAACTTCTTTCTTTTTTAGGTTTCTCGCTTCTGGCGACGTCGTCGTTGGCCGTTGGCCGCTGTCGTCGACGCAACCGTTAAACACTCACACACACACTTTCAGAGAAAAATAAATGCCGTTTGGACATTTAGTGGGGTGATGATGATGATTATTATTTTTTCTCGCATTTTACAATGAAGCAAACATAGATTTTTTCGACATGTCCGACATACATACAAATATTCTACATCGAAAAAAAAACAAGCAACCTTATGATGCCAAACGTCGTCGTCGTTATTGCTGGCGATTATAGCATTTCAAAGTTGAAAAAAAAAAAACGATCACTACACATACACACACTGAGAAATTTTCTCGATAATTTTTCATATTCCAAAAAACTTTTTTTTCTTCACCAATTTCCGTACAATTTTTACACTAAATTCTCTTTGGTTTAATTTGCTAAATGGCATTTATGTGGTGCCTTGCATTTCATAAGTATTAATTTTTTCCTTTTTTCTTGTTTCATATGTACATTCTTTTGTGAAATTTAATCTTGTCTTGAAAACGTTTCATTTTTTCTTTGATTACGCCATTTTGAGTTGTTCGTCGAGTCAGTTGATGTTCATCACAGTCGTTGTCGTAAAACGTGTTTTGTTTTTAATTATTACTTTTTTTTGCTATGTGGAATTTATTGGCCCGATCCTTTCTTTCGTTTACTGCATATTCCGTCCGTTAGATGCGCGTTAATTAAATTTACAGGATATGCTTCTTGCTGGTGCAGCGGCCGTATTTTTTTTCTCATAACCAACGAACTGAAATATATATTTTTTAATAAAATATCACGAACGAACGACAGGGAATAGGGCGAGACCAGAGAACAAAGTCGCTTGTGTTTTGTTGGTAATGACGGCTGGGCAAGATTCGTTTGCATTGCGTTATCGATAGTTGCGTATTCGATTGTTGGTCTTTTTATCGTAAGGTGGTGTGGCAACACATTGAATTCGCATGTCATATGATTAGGAGCATAGTTTTTTTCAATTAATATGAACAAAGGATAGGTAATATGAAAGCAATAATTAAAAATAAAAAATTGTTCCGTTTGCTAGTGTTAAAGATGACGCAATCTGGAATTTTAGATTGTCACTTCCATTGAGGGTATGGCGTATAAAAAATAAATTAAATATTGTACTGAAATTAATAAATTAAGTAGACAAGAATGACCATCGCAACGACAGTCATTGGATCATGGAAAAAGAATACTGGAAGTCGCATCGACACAGCTGCTGGGACAATGAGCTTTCAAAGCTATTTTTGAATCGAAATTTTTGAATAAAAAATTATTCGAATATGTAAAAATTGTCACAAACAAGTAAAAAAGCTGTAAATTGTAGCCGTCATATTAGAGTCTAAACAACGACGTGAACCTGCATAGACAATTTTTATCATAAGCCATTAAAATATTCAAATGCGAAACTTAAAAAAAAAAACAGTGAAAAATTTAGCTAAAATCATCAATATAGGGAGGTACTATTATATGGGGGCTATACGAAGACGTGGATCTGCACAGACAATTTTCTGTCATAGGCTGTAGTATTCATTACAAACTTCAAATACCAAATTTAAAACAATTCCCGTGAATAATGTCACTAAAATCATCGAAATACCGAATATCGCGAGGTTATATGGGGCCTGTAGGAAGGCGTGGATCTGCACAGATAATCTCCTGTCATATGCTGTAGTACCTATTCCGAACTTCTAATACCAAATTTGAAACAATTCCGCTGAATAATATCGTTAAAATCAAGTACCGAATATCGGGAGGTACCGTTATATGGGGACTATACGAAGATGTGGACCTGCACACACAATTTTCTGTCTTAGGCTGTAGTAACAATTATGAACTTTAAACACCAAATTTGAAACAATTCCGGTGAATAGTGTGCTAAAACCATCAAAATACCGAATATCGGGAGGTACCGTTATATGGGGGCTATGCGAAGATGTGGACCTGTATTATGCTGTAGTATCCATTATGAACTTTAAACACAAAATTTGAAACAATTCCGGTGAATAGTGTGCTAAAACCATCAAAATACCAAATATCGGGAGGTACCGTTATATGGGAGCTTTGGCAATTTTCTGTCTTAGACTGTAGTATCCATTTCGAACTTCAAATACCAAATTTGAAACACAAGTCATCTAAAATTGCAATGTATACCACACGGTAAAGCAGTAGATACAATGATTTTGGAGCGAGCAACCAATCCCCTTCCATTTTTGATTCTCCTGAGAGCATCCCCATACAGGATACTAAGGGAATTCATCGGAATGAATCCCTACTAATAAATGAACGCCAAATTTGGTAAAATTAAATATGTATGTATTTATATTATGCATGGCATATAAAATGCCCACTCAAAATTTCCAATACTACAGGCTTAGTGAAAGAAGAAGGAGTATTACATTAAACTAATCCGTAGGATTTTGTATGACAATCAAAATAAAGTCCTTATCGGGTGCAACCATAATTTCATGCTTCTTTGAACGAACTCGGAGAAAGGTCATGTCATTGGAGGGATCCAAATCACGTACCACACTACGGGCTTTATCGGCCAGTTGGCTCATTAGGCCGGCATATTGGACAGTGGTGGTATTGTCCAATGTGGATTTGACGGGAATGCCTATAAGTCAAAAATATATGTAGAATTTATTATAAAATATTAATTTCCATTCATTAAAATAAATACATAAAGAAATATCCATAACACATCCATAATGGGTTACTATGGCATTAGTCATAAGCCAGAATAGGCAGCAAACTTCGTTTTGTTACCAACAACAAATAATATGCAAAAACACGAAAAAGTACAAACCCACCTTCATTGTTGACCACAATTGTTCCCACAACACCTTTGTGTGCCTGTATGCGTTTCAAAGTTTCTTCCACCTCTTGGGACTGGAATAAAATTGTTATTTATTAAATTTTGTTTTTGAAATCTTTTCACTTTATTTTTATACCATTTTTATTTTATTTGCAGTGGAAAAAACTAAACAAAAATGTTTTGCAAAGGGGTGTCAAGAGCAAACAGCTGTCGTCATCAGTTATCGATAAGAGAACATCAATCGATATCGTTGCTATGACAACAACTTCATTGAAATGCGTTCCAGTTGAAAAAAATAAAAGGCGTTTACACAGCTATATTTAAATATATGTCAACATGCCGTTATTATCATTTATGATGAAATACAGCATCCAAATAATAAGTTATATTCATGGTAGAAGAATAAAGTAGACACATCGGCACAGATGCTGGGACAATAAACTGTCAAACCAATTTTGGAAATAAAGATGTTGAATGAAAAATTATTTAAATTTGTAAAAATTGTTGAAAAAATAAAAATTGTGTATTCGCACCTAGAACAAAATCAAAACAACATATTCTCTCCCGCTCAACAACAAAACTAAAACAAGAAGTCGTTCCAAGCCGCTCAATTTTATGTATTAAATGATTGAGTTTGATTGATGTTTGATTTTCTTAAGAAATTTCCGAAATATTTTAATATCAAATACTTTTATAAAATTCAGGTACATATATTTTTCATACTAATATTTAAAATATATGGTTTCTTAAGGTGAAAAATGCCTAGAAAAACACTTTGTACCTGGAAGAATTTTTTGTCGCATACCCTCCACCGCCCGTCCCTCTATCCGTCTGTCTGTCTGAGGAAATCACTCTAGCTTCCGCACGAAATGAAGTAGATTGATAAAATTTTACTTAAAGGTATATTATGTCTGCAAGAGTTATTGAAAATGGACCATGTGGGTCTCGTCTTGGTATAGCCTCCATATAACGGTACCTCGCGATATTCGGTATTTTGATGATTTTAGCGACATTATTCACCGGAATTGCTTCAAATTTGGTATTTGAAGTTCGTAATGGATACTGCAGCCTATGACAGGAGATTGTCTGTGCAGGTGTACGTCTATGTATAGCCCCGCTATTCGGTATTTTGATGATTTTAGCGACATTATTTACCGGAATTGTTTAAATTTTGGTATTTGAAGTTCGTAATGGTTACTGCAGCCTATGACAGAAAATTGTCTGTGCAGTTGCACGTCTTCGTATAGCCCCCATATAACGGTATCTCCCGATATTCGGCACTTTGTAGATTTTAGTAACATTATTCGCCTGAATTGTTTCAAATTTGGTATTTGAAGTTCGTAATGGATATTACAGCCTGTGACAGAAGATTGTCTGTGCAGGTCCAGGTCTTCGTATAGCCCCCCTATAACGGTAGCTCCCCGGTATTCGGTATTTTGATGATTTTAGCGACATTATTCACCGGAATTGTTGCAGGTCAACATTTTGGTATAGCCCCCATAAATAGTATCTCCCTATATTAATGATTTTAGCTACATTATTCACCGAGTTTTTTTTTCAAGCTCCGCATTTGAATATTGTAATGGCTTATGACAAAAGTTGCCTATGCAGATCCACGTCGTCGTTTAGACCCTAATATAACGGCTATATATGGTACTTTTAAGATTTTAACAGAATTTTTAAGTTGGGCACGGCAAAACTTACAGCTTTTTTACTTATTGTTGATAGGGTTTTCAGTGCGAGGTGCATATTAGGAAATTCTTTCAATTTATTTTTTCACAGTTTTCGTTCATATGTGTTCAGTGGATAAAACGTTTGATTGCGGACCTTATATTTTACAAAGTTTCCAACTTCCCCAAAAAATATACCAATTTTGGTATAATTCTACCAATTGTGTGGACAACAAAGTGGAACGATTTTTTTTGGCGGCGCCTTATTGTTTCCCCACCAATTGACGGCGGCGCGCTGATGTTTTACAATCGACTCTGCAAGTGTGGCAGTCAACTGTCGCAGTCAACTTCATGTTCAGTCAAAAAAACATACAACTCGGAGAAAAAGATTATAAACACCGCCGCAAATACAAATAAAATTGTGTGTTAAAATTGAAATTACAATAAAAAAGCTTCCAAAAAGGTTGAAATTTGTTTTATAGCATAAACAAACGTGAATACTACAACAAATATTTGTATTGAAGATTGTTGTTTTTTTGTTTTTGTACAAAATATATAGAAAATTTCATGTTTGCATTCTCAACTTCAGTAAAACGGAGACGACGACACGAGAGAGTTAAGAAAACAAAAAATTGTATTTGAATTGCAAAAAAAGTGAAAAGTGAAAAGTTTTGTGTATAAATTATTAGTTGGAAAGTGTCTTGGCTGGTGCAAAAAATAAAAAGAAGAAGCAGCAAAAGGGAAATACTCTTGAAAAGGCAGTACCGCCAGCCAGGTACCACAGGCATATTCTCCAAGTAAGCTCCAGCAACATCATCATAATCATCATCATTAAGCTATTTGGCTGATAATGACCGCAAGAAAATTGGGAACAACTCTAGTTTAGTAAAAACTCTTAGATTTTTTCGAAATTTTTTCCAGAGGTAGGTATTTTTACCCTGATCCCGGGAAACTATTTTTTTCTTGGGGGACGGACCCGGGACCCCAGATTTTTGACCCAAAAGTCCGGGATCAAGACCCCGCCTGGACCCGGATCCACTTACCCGATATAGACAATATGGGTATCGATTGAAAGCTTATGGAAATACCTATCCAACAAGTGGTCACATGAAGGGGTAAGTTTTCATGGTTCGGAAGTTATAGTCAAATTATCGATTTTTTGGACCCGGATTTTTTATGAAACCCCCAAAAAGTCAAAAAAGGGCCCATTATGGGGGTCAACAAAATTGTTTCCAAATTATAGCTGACACTCTTACCTTTCCAAAATGCTACAATTTGTGCTAATACCTTTTTCGGTTCCAGAGATATGGGTCTTTCCATCCGCATAACCCGATTCTAACCAGTTCATTAAAATTATGTTTTTAATAAAAAAAGTGTTTATTTCGCGTAGCAGTCGTCGGAATAACAAAAGTTTTCTAAATTTGGCACTTTTTGTAAATAGCCGGCCTTCGGCCGGGGCTTGAGATTTTCACCTATGGGTATGTCCGACCCCGGCTAACGCGAACAAAAGGTTCATAATTTCGGCACTCTTTGTAAATAGCCGGCCTTCGGCCGGGGCTTGAGATTTTCTCCTCTGGGTATGTCCTACACCGGCTAACGCGAACCAAAGTTTTCTAAATTGGATACCTTTTGTAAGTAGCCGGCCTTCGGCCGGGGCTTGAGATTTTCTCCTCTGGGTATGTCCTAAACCGGCTAACGCGAACCAAAGTTTTCTAAATTTGACACTTTTTGTATATAGCCGGCCTTCGGCCGGAGCTTGAGATTTTCTCCTCTGGGTATGTCCCACACCGGCTAACGCGAACCAAAGTTTTCTAAATTTGACACTTTTTGTAAATAGCCGGCCTTCGGCCGGGGCTTCAGATTTTCTTCTCTGGGTATGTCCCACACCGGCTAACGCGAACCAAAGTTTTCTAAATTGGATACCTTTTGTAAGTAGCCGGCCTTCGGCCGGGGCTTGAGATTTTCTCCTCTGGGTATGTCCTACACCGGCTAACGCGAACAAAAGATTTCTGAATTTCATTCTTACGCAAAATATACCTTTTTTATTGAAAACATAGTTTTAATGAACTGGTTAGAATCGGGTTATGCGGATGGAAAGACCCATATCTCTGGACTCAGTAAAGGTATTAGCACAAATTGAACCTTTTTGGAAAGGTAGAAGTGTCAGCTATAATTTGGCATCAATTTTGTTGTCCCCCATAATGGACCCTTTTTTGACTTTTTGGGGGTTTTATAAAAAATCCGGGTCCAAAAAATCGATAATTTGACTATAACTTCGAAACCGTAAGATCTTACCCCATCATGTGACCATTTGTTGGATAGGTATTTTCATAAGCTTTCCAACGATACCCATATTGTCTATATCGGGTAAGTGGATCCGGGTCTAGTAGGGGTCTCGAACCCGGACTTTCGGGTCAAAAATCTGGGGTCCCAGGTCCGTCCCCCAAGAAAAAAATAGTTTCCCGGGATCATGGTTAAAATACCTACCACTGAAAAAATTTTCGAAAAAATTGAAGAGTTTTTACTAAACTAGAGTTAAGCCGAAAATTGTTAACAATCCAATACATACATACATGCATATGGACAACGTTTTTTTGTACATACATATGGCAAAAAAAATCTTGAATGTGCTGGGTTATTTATGGACCGTTTGTTCCCAATTTTGGGAAAATGAGTTTAAGCTTCATTCATAAAAAGCGGGGAGTGACGACGGCAATGACGACGACTCCACTCCCACTCCATTTCTTACAAAACCACCAACTACAACAAGAACAACAATAATAACAACCATTAACAAGCCAGCCGCTCGCTCTCTGCGTCGGCGGGTAGTAGTGGTGTTGCGCAGCAATTTCATCTGCTTGACTCCCTCCTCCTCCTCCTGCCGCCCTACCTACCCACCTAACTTGTTTGTTGCTGCCCGCGCCCTACGATGTTGTTGTGATAAATAGCAGCAAAACAATTGAGGTGATTTCTAGAGGAGCCCAGAGGAGCCAACTGTATGCAGTCAAGTCAAGCCAGTCTTCGTTTTCCTTTGTGCATTTTTCACTGGATTCCTCGGCCCATGGCTGGTGTAGTTATTATTATTATAAGTCTGTTATAGTCTAGATAGATTTTGCAAAAAGAGGAGGAATGTCCAAAAAAAATATGGGATATAAAAAGAAAATGAAATCATTAATCTGATGGATAAAAAAACACACACACACAAAAAGCAAGAAGCGTTGAGAAGTAAGGTGCTGCTGCTACTACTACCAGTCAGTACTGGTGTATATTCCTGTTGTTGTTGTTGGTATAGCTAAACAAACATGCATAGGCATTTAATTTATATTTCAAAGCAAAAAAACAAAAGTGGTTAGGTGGTGGGTGGGTGGTTGGTTGGAGAAGGGGACGTAAGACAAATTGAGTATAGGCATGTGTGTTGAACGGGGATGGTGTTGGCTTTGCCTGATATCTCCTCTCGCCGCTATGTGAAAAGTAAATAGATCTGTGACATACCTATCTACCTATTTACCTTATCACAAGCATCTTATCTTGTGGCTGCAATAATAATGATCATGGGACGATAATAATAACTTCTTTGAAAATCTTCATCAAAAACTACAAATTGAAAG